AGGAATATATTAGTCCACTAAAGCCATGCATGTCGTTAAATATAAATACATTAAAGTTAGCGGTCAATATTTTTTTGTTCCGAGTCAAGTCACATCCATTTTTGGCAATAATTTGATCACCGCTCATTCACCCTCATCAACACGTATCCAACAAAGCTCAACTTACGCTTTGACCACTACCTAGGGTCAAATTCTGAAATAGACCACCTATTTATTCACCCACTCGTTTTCATCCAAATTTTCTCAAAGGTAACAACCCTAAACAAACCATGGAGAACGAGACAACTGCTGACAAGGACTCCAGCGATCACCCATCCAATTCTGAGCTTATGGCGAGCGCCAAGGTGATGTCTGAAGCTGTGGCAGGCCAGGAGACTGACACGGGCAAGATAGCCGGAGCTGCTGCTGACATCCTGGATGCAGCGGCGAGCTATGGAATTGTAGATCAGAAGCAAGGATTGGGGAAGTATATGGACCAGGCGGAGGAATACCTTCATAAATATGAGACAACCCACACCACCACCACCCAAACTGACGCTGACGGCAATACAACCACCACCGAAACCACCACCACCAAACCCGTTGATGATGATGACAAGTAAATTAATTTAGTGCTGGATATATGTATCGAGGTGTTATATATGAATATGGCTGAAGGAATATTAATCAAGGAGTAATTGATCGAACTTATGATCATATGTTTTAATTGTTATTTTTTTGTAACTTTTATCTCTAAATATTATTAAAAGAGAACCTTTAATTCTAAATTGAAGAAATCAGGGCCATTGATTGCATTTCAATCCTATATTTTCTATCATTAGATTATTTGATGACATCATCTTTTTCAACTCCTTTATTTTTGTCCACAAATTTTATAAAACATATATTACATTTTAAATTAGGAAGTTCATTAATGACAATTAAATCTCATCAAAAATAAAATGAATTAAATTAGGAATTCTATTAATGACAATTAAATCTCACCAAAAATAAAATGAATTAAGTTAAGAATTTTATTAATGACAATTAAATCCCACCAATGAAAAAATATAACACACCATCCCTCATTACCAGTACCCCTACCTTTTCTCCCTTTTTTCTTTACATAATTTATCTAACCTGAGTTTTGTAGTGGGAAAGAAAATGAGGGAAAGAAGAAATAAAATATATGTGGGCTTCGATCTGTGTAGATCAGTCTTGTGTTCGATCATCATGAAAGAAGGAGGAATGATATAGAGATAAATTTCTTTGGATTCTACTTTAATTTGATCGTAGTTTAGATCGATTTTGGGTACGTTTTAGATTATGTTTCTTTTATTCTGTTTCAACTATGAAGTTCCAATCTATAAAACATTTCGCTTTAAGTTTAAATCCATATTGGTTACATTTTCTGAATCTGCTTCGATTTTTGTTCTTATGATCTGTATTGTTGATTTTGATTTTTTAAGTTGTAGATACCTGGAGAGCAAAAGGATGGACACAACAGCACCGCTACCTCTCATCCATTGTTTCGATTTGGAAGATATGTCCACTAGGTAGTGAATTTGTATATGTCGATTTTCTTTTTTATTTTTACATTTTTGTATATGCATTTAGTCAATGATTTTTTTGTGGCTTACCAAGTCATGAATGGAAGATATACTCGAGTCAATATCTATAATGCTTTACCCATTCAATCCATTCCTGGATTTGGAGATGGAATTTAAACCCTTATATCAGTGAGTGATCCACATATTCTACAACTCAGCAAAACCCAGTGGTGATATGTGTTTTGATTTATTGTAAAAAACATCTTTTAGACTCAATAGCAAAGAAAAGACAAAGTTTTAGTATACCATGTAAATAGATTACATCGATAAATCTTATTGGAAAAGGTTTGGGATTGATTAATTTTGGTTTATTAGCAAGGGTTTTTTGGTTAACTTGCGTTGTCTGGGCATGCCGAGAAGCATAGTAAGAACCTTTCACAACCTTATTCT